TATGTTTGTGTCTGGGGCCGTATGTGTGTGTGGTAGCTGCTTGCTATGTTTTGTATATATGGGGGGCTGCCTGTGGCCTTTGTGCACTTTGTTAATGGTGGAGCTATGTTTTATAACTTTGTGTGTATGATGGTTGTCTTCAGAGGTGACTGTAACATGGTGAGTAAAGGGGTAATTGTGGCAGGATGAGTGTGACAGGGTGAGGGGTGAATGAGACAGGGTTGGGGGGTGAGTGTGGGAATGAGGGAGAGCAAGTGTGATATGGTTGGAAGGGGTGTTACAGGGTGAGATAAGGTAAGCGTGACAGGCTTAAATTGTCAAAGGACCCCTATAGGCACCTAGACCACTTTATCTTAATGAAGTGGTCTGGGTGCCAGGTCCAGCTAGGGTTAACCCTTTTTTCTATAAATATGTCAGCCGCTAGAGGCGCTTGTGTGCTTCTCACTGTGATTTTCACAGTGAGAAGAAGCCAGCGTCCATAGGAAAACATTGTAAATGCTTTCCTATGAGACTGGCTGAATGCGCGACGAGTATGTTTTCCTGGCACTATAGTGGTCCTTTAATGTGACAGGTAAATGTGGCATAGTTAGGGAGGTATCACAAGATTGGCTGGTATATGGCATTATTGGAGTGAGTGTGATAGGGCAAGGGGAGGTGAATGTGACAGGATTAAGGGGGTTAATTGACAGGGTGAGTGTGACAGAGTGATGGGGGGGGGGGGTAACAGGATTAGAGGTGTTAATGCTAAAGGGTGAGTGTGGCAGGGTTAAGGGTGCCACAGGTTTGGGGGTGAGTTTGGCACATTGGAGGAGGGAGTGTGACAGGAAGAGGAGTGGGAGTGTGACAGTGAGAGGGGAGGTGAGTGCAGTTTGGTTGCAGGAGGTGAGTGGGATAGGATCAGGAGGGGTTAAAGTGAGTGGCAGGGTTAATGGGGTGATGGTGTGTGTGTAAGGGTGACTATGTGGGTGTATGGTGACAGTGTGTGTGGGGAGTGGTGACCGGGTGTGCGGAGGGGGAGTGACAGTGTGTGGAGAAGGGTGACTGTATGTCGAGAGGGGTGACAGTGTGTGTGTGTGCATGGAGGGGATTACAGAGTGTGAAATTGGGTTGGCAGAGTGAGAGAGTGGAGACAGTGGGCAGTGTGAGGGAAGGAGGGGGTGACAGATGGCAGAGTGAGGGGGAGACAGGGGATGAGTGAGGGGGTGACAGGTGGCAGAGTGAGGGAGGGAGTGGCAGAGTGAGGGGAAAAGTAGGGACAGGTGGCAAAGTAAAGGGGTGAAAGGTGGCTGAGTGAGGGATGACAGGAGGCAGGAGTGAGGGGGTAACTGGGGGGCACAGTGAGGGAAGGAGGGGGAAAAAGGGGGCTAAGTGAAGAGTGACACTCAGGGTGTCAGGGAGCTGAGTGAGGGTGTGACAGGGGCTACGTGAGGGGTGACAGGGGACTGAGTAAGGGGGTGACAGGGGGCTGAGTAAGGGGTAACAGGAGGCTGATTACAGGAGGACAGGGGACTGAGTGAGGGGATGACAGGGGCTGAGTAAGGGGTGACAGGAGGCTGATTAAAGGGGGCTGAGTGAGGGGTGACAGGAGGCTGAGTGAGTGGGTGACTGGAGCCACAGTGAGGGAAGGAGAGGGGACAGGGGCTTAAGTGAGGGGTGACGGGGGACTGAGTGATGGGGTGAAGGGGGACTGAGTAAGGGGATGACAGGGGACTGAGGAGTGAGGAGTGATGGGTGATGTGACGAGACCAATCTCGCCACATTGCATTGGAGAAGCCTGGTTGCTCGCCTGTTGCCTTTGGACTATGGCCCCATGTTAAAAGCCTTCTTTTCCCCTGCAGAAAAGGCTTATTCGTGCCTTTCTGCCCGGCGGTCGGTAGATTAAATCTACCGAACTAACGCACGAATGACTGGACCACCTGGGAGCTGGAGTGTTTCGGCAATTTACCTCCCAGAAGCTGCGGTTAACCTCAGCTTAATTGACGAATGCTGGTTGGCCTTTGTTCGGTTGCCGAACACGTGGCGGCGGCCATTTTAAAGTCCCGAACGGCCAGCGTTGTTCAGCGCCCAAACTATGGAACTGTAAACGGACACTCATTTGCGCGAACACGGCTGAGCCATCAGCCTCCTTGCTTCTGCATTCGGTCATTTAACCGGATACCTGTTCATTTGGTAGTTTAAACCGTATGAACAGCATTACCCCAGAAAGCCATCCCGTGGAGTCTATTCATATGGAGAACAGACTTTGTGAACACTTTAACTCCACGGCGATTGGACTGTGTGCATAGGATCTGAGCGCTATTCGGTACTTTTGTGCGCTCAGATCCCAGCTATCTGGGGATGGGTTACATGTATACATTTTGTGTGACAAATGTAATATTGTGTATTTTAGTGTTTTATTGTAACCATGTGGGTAATGGAGTTTTGCCTCTGTCCTTGGAGATAATTGGATTACTTCCCAATTATCTCCAGGATAGAGGGGAAGGATTGTAATGTATTGGGGGAGTGTTTTAACCCTGTTTGCCTGTGATTGGTCATTGTACCATTTGTGTCCCAGTCTTCCCTCTGGTCCCCTAGGGGAGTGTCCACCAGGTGGAAGACCTGCATAAATACTGGGCAGGTAGCCCTCATTAAACCAGACCATTGCTTGACCCTCAACACGGAGCTCTGTCTCGTTCTTGGGGGATTTACTGTATGCTGACAGAGACTGATTGCTAGGAGTGTAAGCCACTTGGGTGCTCTTCCTATTCGTCTGCTAGCAGCTATTCGTGAGGTTCCAGTTCGGGAGTTTGGAGTGCTATTTTGTATACAGTTCGGGTGTTTGGAGCATTCCCTTACATACGGTTCATGAGTTTGGTGTTCTACAGTAGCTGTGCCTGTGTCTCTGGAAGGGGAAGATCTACTAAACTGCGGTTTAACCCTTTTTATGCTGAGGGTGCTGTTACAGGTGACACTTAAGGTGACAGGGGGCTGAATGAGGTGGTGACAAGGGACTGAGTAAGGAGATGACAGGGGGCTAAGTGAAGGGTGACAGGGGGCTGAGTAAGGGGGTAATTGTGGGAGGGAAGGTGAACAAATACTTTTTTTCCCCTGTTGGTCCGGTGGGCTTCCTATCCTGTCTGCAGCTCCACCGGGAGTGAGCTGCAGACCATGTGATAGAAGTCTTGCAAACTCCAGAATTCGAGGCGTTGCCGTGGTAACCCGTGGGAACACTCTGATTGGCTGGAGGTTGCGAGACACTTTACAGTCTGCAGGTCATTCGGCGTAGCTGCAGACTGTAAACGCTCCCCTCCCAGGGCAGACTGCTTGGAGGGGGCCTCGCAACAGGCGGCATAATGGGCAAGCCGCTGTGTCCACTCCCGATGTTCACTCAACATGTAAGTCTGCCCTAATGTGATTTTGGCGGCCGTGAGGCCCCTGCCAGCGCGAGGCCTTAGGCGGCCGCCTAAGTCGCCTAATTAGATAGCCACCTCTGATCTAGAGTCATTTGGTCATAAGCATTTGATATCAAGTTTAATATGCATGCTTTTAGCATCCGAACCCACTACAAAGTACAAGATTCTGAATATGCAGAATATGATATACAAATCACTGGTTTTAAACACATTAGGGACATAAGGGACTGAAAATCCAGCAGGATGAAAATTATTGTATAATTGTTTATTAAAATGAATAGGGGGAACTGTAAGGGCAAAGTTTCTTCCCTGGGGAATCTTAATGGCTGCAGTTCGTCCTTGGAATTCTAATTAGCACACCACACCTACGAGCTCAGAGAATTGACTGACACACAACACAAATAGTGATGGTTCAAATCAACTTTGAATTTATTGGCATAACTTAACAATTTATATCGGTGTCTTATCACATGGTATTTTATCCCATTTTTACAGTAATCAGCATCAGAAAACATCTTGGACAGTTGTCAAAAATAATTAATTACCGCAAGACAGACACAGTAGTCATTTTAAGATAAAAAAGTATCAATGACAATAGAATACATTGAGTACAAGGGTCAACCTGACCACATTTTGGTTTTGCAATGTTGTATTTTCCCTAAACTATCTGCTAAACAGGAAGCATCAGTTGGGAGAAAATGTAAGCACAAGGTCACTTGTGCAAGCGAGTTAGTGTTGAAATATATATTTATACTGTCATGATATAAATGATAATTTAAGCTGCTTTGAGCAGTAAACAACAAAATGGACCCTGGATACAAAATGGCATCTGAATATAAATGACAAAATGATTACAAAATGGCGAGTGAGTTAAATATTTTTTTTTTTTTTTTTTTTTATTCTTTATTTTTCTTGTGCATAGATTAACAACAAGCGTGCAGTGCCACAACAGCATCTACAGGCAATTGCATGACATTTCAATGTGTGGCATTTTAGACAGCACAATTTTTCTTTTATAAATGCGAGGGTAACAGATTATTAGATAGTAGCATTTTATAATGTAACACGCTAGACTAGATATGCATATATCAAAACTTGTTGTGCTTGAGATTGTATGTGCGTAGCTCGTGTTTGATGTGGCGTATAGGCATTGAAAGTAGTGTGACAGGTTATTATACCAACAGATGTGTCTTCATATTGTGTGAGACAAGCTAGTTGTTTAGTTGCGTACCTATCTGATGCCTAAGGTAGACCAGAGTGAAAGTAGTAGCTAGATCACACCTAGTACTGTGTGCTGTTGTTTGCTACTTAACACCACAGTGGGAGATATTGGGTAAACACTTAAGAATGTAAACAATACAAATAAAAAACACATATTATTAGAAGAACACACTGCCGCCCCGCCAACTGACGTTTGAGCTCCAATGTCTCTGGCAGTGGAGTGAGGCAGGAATCTGCACACCCGGCGTGGCCCTCGGTGGTATATGGAGTCATTGTTGTTCGGTGTCCGCTTTGTGAAGGCGGAGGGTTGGGGAGTGATGTGCACCTCTGCTGGCGCCTTCTAGCTATTTGAATCCCTCCTGCTGCGGCTAGTAAGTGTTGCCATGTGAGCGCTGTGGGCTTGTTCTGAAGGCTGAAGTGGTGTCGTGCCTCGTGTGCCGTTTGCCTGAGTTGGGCAGAGGGTTAGTTAGCCGGGTCTGGTGGGTTGGTGCTGCGTCGCTTGTAGCCCCTCCGTCCTCTGTGCCCTGTGCGGGTGCAAGAATCACGAAGCCTAGGCTTGGCATGTAACGTAGTGGTGTGGCTCTGTGTCCGCTCTGATCAGGCTGCCAGTAATAGGTACGTGGGGCCTGCCCTGTGTTTGTGGGGATTGCAATCCTCTGGGGGCGATAGGTGGCAGGCTCCCTTATGTGAGGTGGCAGGCTTTATCTGGTCGCCTGGGTCTTGGGATCTCCGTTTCGGAGGGGATTGCAGGGTGTGGGCCGGGATCACCCCCACCGGCCCAGGGGGGGGAGATGGGGCCCGGACCGCCAATCCGAGGAAGTCCGGCTGATTATCGTCGAGCAGGATAGCGGGGCAGCGGCCGTCTGCCCCACTCACCGCCTGAGTAGGCCTCATCCCATGAGGACGACGTATATCTCTCAGAGGGACTGAAACAAATTCTGCGAGCCTCTCCCCGGGTCCAGTGCTTCTCCGTGTGCCGGCCCATCGCTCTTGGTCGGCTGGACGGATCAGTAAGTCAGTTTTTGGGGCCCGAAAAGGCAGAAAGCTGTCGGAGCCGCCGTTCCATGCGACCAGCCAGCATGGCGGCCAGGCCCCGCCCCCATGAGTTAAATATTTTAATCCTTTTTTAAATTAACTTATAACCCCACCAGTCCCCACCCATTGGTGGTGGGTTGTGGCTACTTATTTATTAACCATGCAGAAATAAATTATGTTTGTGATGCTGAAATTGGCCACAGTTAACCTGATGATCATACTGCTATCAACAATATAAAGGGAGACTCAAAGCACCCATATGACCTTAAAGAGTTTGATAAATATTCCTGCCTCCTTAGCCATGACCCTTCATTCCAGAAAAAGACTCTATAGCACTGAGTGAGCATTTAATTCACAGACAGGAAGTCAAACTACTGTAATACATCAGTAATATTCTCACTATATGTCTCTCTGGGTGTCTTCTCCTTCTAATTGTAGTTGCTTTGTAGTTCAGATCACTCGGTGATGTTGATTGCTGTGGTGTGTACATACATTTGATAAGGAAGTGAAAGGGCATGGGTAAGGAGGCAGGTTTATGGTTGAACAAAAGCAAAATAACAGTGCAGCGCTTATTTAACACTGGGATAAGCGAGAATACCTGTGTACCTTCAAATATCTTTTTAAGTGTTCTAAACTCCAATTTCAGTACCTTTGAACAAACAGCTAAAAAATACCAATGATAGTGTATAACTGTGTAAATATATATAATAAAGCTTGTGAGATAATTTCACACTCACACTTTTAAGAGCTATATACAATTAGCTCTAGTAGAAAACAGCTTTAGGGTCCGTAGAGGCGACCCGTCCCTTCTTTGTGCAGGAAGAGGTCCTAAATATGGACTCAAAAGAAAGGTATATATGGAGTAGTACCGTCAAACGTTTAAATCATCTCTAAATATAAAGACAAATGGGTACTCACAAGGATGGAGCCAATATCAGGATCTATAGGCAGTGCAGTGTCTGGACTAAGGGCCACACTACCTTCTTAGTGAAGCAGGAACGAAGATGGCAGAATGTAGTAAGAACTATATAAGTAATTTATTCATTATAACCATAAACATTAAAACATATATATAAAATATATATAACTTTCTCTGTTACCTGGGGACACGTTTCACCACAAATAGGGCTGCATCAGCTAGGCAATCCGTGGTGAAAGTTCTAGCGTGCTCCCTCCTGCTTATATACATCCTTTTAATAGGGGGACAATAGTTATCTGGTGTGAAGAATGCGCGCTTTCTACCACTGCGCTGGGAGTGCGCTTGCGTTGCACGCCTTGTCCTCCTCCTATCTGGAAGTTCTGTTCCGGTTTCCTTGTGCGTGTGACTTGCATCACTTCTGCTTTTGTCAATTCCGGTTGCTGTGAAGACTTGTGTGCGTATCAGCGGCCACTGTCTTTGCGTTCCACTTAAATGTCCGATAGTGGAAGTGGTATTTAGGGTAATGGATGGATTCATAATCTCTTGTGGAAATGTCCATATATGTAAGATCGAGAGAACACAAAGAAAAGAAACAATATTTACATACATGACATTTTACATTGTAGTGATTAAAATAAAGATTTATATCCCAAACATCCAAGAGTGATTTGAAATGAAAAACAATCAAAGTGTATTTCACTTTCCCCACATATGGAAATACTTAAAATATTTAAAAACATAAATGTGCATAATTCACCTTACATTAATTTTCTTTAACTGCTGTAGCACCTTGTCTTGGGTCATCCAATCACAAGTTATCTGCAAGCTTTTTGCAGCAGTCATTTGCATATGTCTTATCATAGGATTCTCATTAATATATACTGGAAAAAAATTGTTATTTAAAATTTCTGCCTTTTCCTCGTCTTCATTAACTAACACTCCCATCTCTGTTTTCAATGTACCTACACTTTCATTTTTTGTTTTTTCAGCATTGGTGTACTTTTTTGGGGTTGGTTTTGCATTCTTTGGCTATTCATTTTCTAGTTTAGCCACTTTAATTGCCTTTTTGCAATCGTTATTGGCTTCCTTATATCTTTTATAAGATGCCTCTGATTTGTCCGATTTAAATGCTTTAAATGCCCTTTTCTTATTTTTAATGTTTTAGTTTACTTTCCCACTAACACATGTTTTTTTTTTTTTTTTTTATATTTATTACCCAATGGTACATACTGAGAAATGTACCTTTCTAATATTTGTTTGAAGATATTCTATTTATCCTCAGTGGTTTTTTTCACTAAGGAGTTTATGCCAGTTGATGTGTTGTAGAGCTGCCCTAATCTTATTGAAATTGGCTTTTTTTTAATTTTACGCTTTAGTATACCCCACGTGCTTTTGACTTTTTGACCTTATTTCAAAAGACACAATATTGTGATCACTATTTCCTAAATGCTCCCCTATTTGAATGTTGTTCAAAAGATCAATATTGTTTGTTATAACCAGAACCAGACAAGCGTCCTTTCCAGTTGGTGCTTGTACCAGTTGTGACATAAAGGTGTCATTTAACATGTTTAAAAACCTGATTTCCCTTGCTGAACTACTAGTCCATATATCCCAATTTATGTCTGGGTAATTAAAATCTCCAATAATTAATGGGTTACCCAGATGTGCAGTTTCCCAATTTGCTCTAACAGCTGTTCTTTCTCATTAATATGAACATTAGGTGGACCGATAATTGATTTCCCTTCTTTTCCCCAAGCAGATATCTACCCAGAAATCTTCCACATTTTCTTTGCCACACTCCACATGCTTAAGATATTATTGAGAGGGTAGTGGATGCATGGAACAGCCTTCCAGCTCAAGTGGTAGAGGTTAACACAGTACAGGAGTTTAAGCATGCGTGGGATAGGCATAAGGCTATCCTAACTATAAGACTAATTAAAGTATTTTTAAAAATTAGGCAGTCTAGATGGGCCTGAATGGTTCTTATCTGTCATCACATTCTATGTTTCTATGTTAAGATTTATCTTGGTTGACATACAAACATACCCTTTCTTGTTTTTTCTATCCTTTCTAAATAACGTGTACCCATTCAACTGCCCAGTCATGTGTCTCATCCCTCCATGTTTCTGTTAAGCCTATTATGGCATATTGCTTAGTGTATGATATTGCCTCTAGTTCTCTCATTTTGTTATTAAATTCAGTTCAAACTGAGCTAACCAGATTCTCCTACACGGGAATGCAGAAGGAAGGTAGTGGCCACGGGCTCCTGGCTGGAGGACTGAGGTAAAATGTTTTGACAAATTACTATGGAAAATGCCAGTGAACTCCTGGCACCAGAACCACTACATCTGCAAGAAAGTGCCAGTGCACTCCTAGAACCATAAGGACTATAAGAGACTATACAATACCAGTGGACTCTTATCACTATAACCACTACATCAAGCCAGAAAGTGCCAGTGTACTATAGCAGGATGGAAAGTGCCAGTGCACTTGTGACACCATTAAAACATCAGTGGTCTTGAAAGTGCCATTGGACTCCTGGCACCATAATCACTACACTGGAATGTAGAGTTCCTTTAATGCTATACGGAATAAGAAAATGTTTTAAAATTTAATTTTTTTCATTCATTTATTTATTAGATTTGTAATTATCTCACCATTCACCTGGGTAAAGCTGTTCATTGTATTCTATGGAATACTGAATGCATATATTTAGCTCACTGTTAGCCCAAAATCGCACACTGTTTTTCATTTGTTCAAGTGAATTTAGCATCTGTATGATTAATGACTCGGTAGGCAAATATAACATATGCAGATTAGAAGGTTTAACAAAAAAGGGGGGTATGGAAAAATTATTGTGCTGTACCAGAATTTTTTATTCCTTCCTTCCTTCATTGCTGCTCAGCACTTCTGTCTTCATCATAGTCTCTCGCTAAGAATTCCCTGTGGGTGTTATCTGTCACTGACTCTATCCTGTATATCATTAAATGATAATGATTAAATTATATCATTTATGCATATTATGTAAAATACAAGCCTTCTATAACCTGCCCTATTAATTTGATACACTTCTGGAAAAAAAACACCATCCACTTCTGCAAAAAGAAAATGTATTTAAGACTATGCAAAGGTAGATTTTATTTAATTTCAAGTGTTTTTAGATAGCTATGCCTTGAAGTGTTCTACAATATAGTTTAGATTTTAAGTCTGATATAGGTGCATGGGTATATCCGTACATGGTATCAGTGTTTGAATATAGAGATATATTCATACATTTACATACACAACCACACACAAATGCATTCAGTTTCTTGGAAAAGTATTCACCCCCCCTTGACCTTTTACCTATTTAGTAAAATTACAGCCTTAAGTTCAATGTTTTATTGATCTGAATTTATGTGATGGATCAGAACACAATAGTCTAAGTTGGTGAAGTGAAATGACAAAAATATATACAAAAAACTATTTTTTTAGAAATAGAAAACAGAAAATTGGCATGCGCATATGTATTCACCCCCTTTGTTATGAAGTCCATAAAAAGATTTGGTGTAACCAATTACCTTGAGAAGTCACATAATTCGTGAAATGATGTCCACCTGTGTGCAATCTAAGTGTCACATGATCTGTCATTACATATACACACCTTTTTTGAAAGGCCCCAGATGCTGCAACACCTAAGCAAGAGGCACCACTAACCAAACATTGACATGAAGACCAATGAACTCTCCAAACAAGTAAGGGACAATGGTGTTGAGAAGTACAACTCAGGGTTAGGTTATAAAAAAATATCCAAATCGTTGATGATCCCGAGGGGCACCATCAAATCTATCATAACCAAAGGGAAAGAACATGGCACAACAGCAAACCTGCCAAGAGACGGCCACCCACCAAAACTCATGGACCGGGCAAGGAGGGCATTAATCAGAGAGGCAAGACAGAGACCTAAGGTAACCTTGGAGGGGCTGCAGAGTTCAACATCAGAGACTGGTGTATCTGTACATAGGACGTCAATAAGTCGGACGCTCCATAGAGTTGGGATTTATGGCAGAGTGGCCAGAAGAAAGCCATTACTTTCAGCAAAAAACAAAATGGCACATTTTGAGTTTGCGAAAAGGCATGTGGGAGATTCCCAAAATGTATGGAGGAAGGTGCTCTGGTCTGATGAGACTAAAATTAAACTTTTTGGCCATCAAAGAAAATGCTATGTCTGGCGCAAACCCAACACATCACATCACCCAAAGAACACCATCCCCACAGTGAAATATGGTGGTGACAGCATCATGCTGTGGGGATGTTTTTCAGCAGCCGGGACTGGGAAACTGGTCAGAGTTGAGGGAAAGATACATGGTGCTAAATACAGGGATATTCTTGATCAAAGCCTGTACCACTCTGTGCGTGATGTGAGGCTAAGACGGAGGTTCACCTTCCAGCAGGACAATGACCCCAAACACACCGCTAAAGTAACACTTGAGTGTTTTAAGGGGAAACATGTAAATGTGTTGGAATGGCCTAGTCAAAGCCCAGACCTCAATCCAATAGAAAATCTGTGGTCAGACTTAAAGATTGCTGTTCACAAGCGCAAGCCATCCACCAGTTTTGCAAGGAGGAATGGGCAAAAATCCCAGTGGTAAGATATGGCAAGCTCATAGAGACTAATCCAAAGCGACCTGGAGCTGTGATTGCCGCAAAAAGTGGCTCTACAAAGTATTGACTTTACTTTTTCTGTTATTTTGTCCTATTTGTTTTTTTTGCTTCACAATAAAAATAAAAAATAAAACATCTTCAAAGTTGTGGGCATGTTCTGTAAATTAAATGATGAAAATCCTCAAACAACCCATGTTAATTCCAGGTTGTGAGGCAACAAAACATGAAAAATGCCAAGGGGGGTGAATACTTTTGCAAGGTACTGTACCTCCACCCACACTGATATACACACCTGACACATAGATGCATACCCTGACACACAAATTTGACACTAATACAGACATATTTGCTGACATGCATACACACGCACATAGATACACACTATGATGCTTAAATTGTCACATACAGACACACATTCACTCACAATGATGGGCAGATACATATATTGGCACGGATACACGGTGACACACCATGCACAGAAACACACAATATCTTAATATAAATACAAATACACACAGAACTCACAATATCTTAATATATACATATTTTTAGCCACCCTCTCATTTCCATGGTGGTTGGTTTCCCTGGGGTCCAGTGAAAGCCGGCTGGGGCTGATTGGAGTGTGCTCTGGGTGGTCCAGGCTCTCTTTCTGCCTTCTCTTCCTCTTCCTCTTTTTACCCCCCCATGACGTTTTGTGATAGGAGAAAAGTAACTGCACAATAGGGCAGCCTTGATGGCGGCTCTTTCTGTAAGTGTCACAAATATATATACATTATTTTATTTTTTTTCCTCTTTTTTTTTCCTTATAATTTAATGTCATCTATAATTCATATCAATCAGGTAGGTTCTACCTGTAAAAGTAAACTCAGTGTAGACCATGGGTCGTCAACCTGGTCCCTACCGCCCACTAGTAGGCGTTTCAGGATTCCAGGTGGGCGGTAGGGATTTTCAAATTTTGAGAGATTGGGTGGGCAGGCGGGCGCGAGCCGGCGGTACCCCTGCGACCGGGTACCACCACCACCACTTGCGGCCCCGGCCCGCGCGGCAAACCACCGGGGCCGCACATGGAGGGGTTCATCGGGGGGCCCATGCTGTCAGGGCCACCTGATGGATGTGGATTGTGAGGGGGCCCCTGTCAGCGCTGGGCGCTTTAACAATGCGACCGGGCCCCCTGTGATTACATCACAGAGCTGGGAGGAAGTGACTGCACGTCACTCCTGCCAGCTATCACACAGACCGCGCGGGAGGAAGGTGGAGGGAGTCAGAGTGGGAACTGGACCCCAGGGAAAGTCACCCTCCTGCACCTAAAAGGTAGGAAACATCTTTTAAAGCGCCACAGCGCCTGACCGGGCCCCTGCTCACACAGGCCCACCGGGTGGCCCTAAGTGCATGGGCCACCCGATGGGCCCCCATAGTTTGCGGGCAGAGGGCAAAAGGAGCAGCTGTCTTGGGCCCCTCAGCTGGGACAGGGCCCGGGGCAGCTGCCCCGTTTGCCCTGCGTTAAAGACGGCCCTGGTCTTGTGTGTGTGTCTGTATGTATGTATGTGTGCCTGTCTGTTATAGTGGGCTATAGTAAGTAATAGTAAGTGGGATACCTAGCTCAGCCTTCCTATTGGGCATTGCTATAAGGAAGGTTAAAAAATGTAAAAAAAGGGGGAAAGGTGGGGAGGGGAATTGAAGAGGGAGAGGAGGGAAGCTGACAAACAGATGAGAAATCATATTATGCGCAAACAGAGAAGTCGTCTGAATATCACCAAAAGAGGAGACCTTCGTTTGTTCCTTACGAAAACCGAACCAGATATCAAATATTTAGTCTTGCAGCATCAACCTCAAGGATCTCATTAATAACTAGTAAAGGTAATTTCAATTTACTTTATTGTTCTCTCATTAAACTTTATAAAGTTAAAAACATTATAAACATGCATTAAGTAGAAATAAAAAGAATAATGTAATTATAATATAATAATTTTTTTTTAAAACACCCTCCTTTCGAAAAAATATTCTGCACTTGCGCAAAAACTGGTGGGCAGTATGGAAATGTTTTCAACCAAAAAGATGTGGACCGGGGAGGAAACAGGAGGGTGACTAAAATATTTTGTGTGTGTTTGTTTGTGTATGTGTCTTTGTATGTATGTCTTGTGTGTTTCTGTCTGTATGTATGTGTCTGTATGTGTGTGTATGTAAGTGTGTCTTATGTATGTGTTTTTGTATGTATGTGTGTGTCTTTGTATGTGTCTTGTGTGTGTGTGTGTGTCTGTCTGTCTGTATATATGTGTGTGTGTGTCTGTCTGTATATATGTGTGTATGTATGTGTGTCTTGTCTTTGTATGTATGTGTTGTGTGTGTATGTGTCTTTGTATGTATGTGTGTCTTGTGTCTGTCAGTATGTGTGTATGTGTCTTTGTATGTATGTCTTATGTGTGTGTCTTTGTATGTGTGTGTCTGTATGCGTGCCTGTCTGTGTTTGTGTCTGTATGTGTGTGTGTGCCTGTCTGTCTGTATGTATGTGTGTCTTGTGCAGGGCCGTCTTTAATTCTGATTGGACCCTGGGCAAGCATTAACTTGGGCCCCCTGACTACATATAGATACACACAAATACAAAACCTGACACACATGCAGATACACACTGACCGCATATAGATACACACAAGAACATACAGATACACACAGACTACATATAGAACACTGACACACAGATAGACACAAACACAGATA